ATAAAAGAAAAACTTACCAATAAGAGAAGTCTTGAAAAAAGATGGACTTTCAACTTTCTTTCACCGAGCATACTCCTTCCTCTTCTGCACATCCTCGTCCTGATCGTTTTCTTGCATCGCTATCCTTGCATCGGCGTTTCTTCAACCTTTCAACGTTGACGCCCTTCTTCTTCACTCCACTGCTTCCTTCCACTTCGTCCTGCCTCTTTGCCTCTTCGTCGACTCCAGCACTACATAGCAACTTGTGTCAAAATGGCCCCTTCCTACTCAATTTCCGTTTGAACAGAGCAGCACCAGCTGTTTATGATTCATTCCCACATTAGGATGCCAGGAGAGGCTGTGTGACGCATTATCATGTTTCTCTTGGCCTCACATAATGTATAATCGGTGTTTGCTACCATTCCACTCTTATAGGCCTTCCTATCATCCCTACGCACTATGAATGAATGAGGTGGATTTGGGGGCGGGGCGAAGGGGCGGGGCCTGTTTCTCTGGCGCAGAAGGTGCGAGGTAAATGCGAGAGAGGCGCTAAGTAATAATTGCCTCCAAAGGGCGCGCTTGGAGAAGAAGCGGCAGGTCTTGGATCCTGGCCACCCTCCTCCGCTTGTGGAGATTCCCGGCGGCAAAAACAGGGCGGTGGGGGTGGAGGCAGATACATGACTCGATGCCATAAATTACATTGTGCTAATAATGTTGCTGTTATATTGGTTGAAGTACGTGCGGCGTCGCTTCACGGGAAATTCGCTCTGATCGTACCTCCTGACTGTTCCTTTCCAATTTTCCACCAGAAATTCACATTCCACTCACTGTCAAGTGGTACATTCAAAAACTGGGGTTTACAATTGCTTCTTGCTCCGGTTGCATTTTTCTCTTTCCATCCGTTGCCTTACTTTATCGGTGTGGATCGTTGGTATTTTTTGTTTTCCACGAGAGGATGACTTTTTAAACATTTTTTCTCTTTGCTATAATTCCAAACTTAAGATCGCTGCAGATAATCTTT